CCCCCCCACGGCACAGGCCCCAAAGCCCACCAACGCACCGAAGGCCCCAAGGCCAGGGCCGGGCGCCGGCGCACCCGCCGGCCCAAGACCCCGGCAACATACCTGTCAAGGCCCGAGATCCCCGGACCAAGCCGGGAACCCCGCCCAGGAGCGATACCACCCCAGAACCCGCGCCCGCGTCCACCCCAGACCCACCCAGGGACAGCCAGGTCACCAGGCCAGTAACCCATGTCCGCCGGTACAGACCGCCCAGAAGCCCGCATGCAGCCAGCACAGGCCATCACCCAGAACCACCAGAGCCACCTCCCCAGTCGGGCGCCACCGCTCCAGGCCCATGACCCCCCCCCCACGTCCCCAGCCCCGACACCCCACCCACACCGACCACCATGCCCCACGGGACAGAATCAAAGGGGACCACCCACCTCCACTACGTGTTGGAGCCGATTAAAGAAGTCCAGAGAGAATAGTCCGATGTGGGGGTACAGGCTGTCTCAAGACTGATGTAATCTAACAGAAGGTCTTTATACTGTTTAATACTAAGTGTATTTTTATTTTTCCAATTCATGAGTATAGTTTTCTTTGCTATACATAGGGCAGTGAGAATAATATGAATTGATTTTGTCTCCAAGGTGACATCATCTAAGTGGCCCAATAAGCAAACTGACGGAGAGAGTGGAATATTACATCTCAGACACTTTGATAAGTCTTCACATATCCGCCACCAAAACCTCTGAACAGGTGGACAGAACCAAAATGCGTGGATGTAATTGTCCGGAATATTGTTTGTACACTGTGAGCAAATATTAGATGATGCGAAACCCATCTTGAACATCCGTTGACCTGTATAGTGTACTCTATGAAGGATTTTGTATTGTATTAGTTGTAAATTCGAGTTTTTAATCATCTTAAAAGTTCTCAGACAGATCTGCGACCAAAAGTTTTGGTCAAAATTAACTGACAAGTCTGTCTCCCATTTTACAATGGGAAGAGATATAGCTTCATCTATTTTACTGAGTTTCTGATAAACCTTAGATAGTAATTTGGGAGGGTTAAGATTAAGGAATTCTAATACACTTGTTGACATTTCAATCCTAGTGTTATTAAGGTTAAATTTATTTTTGGTTATAGATTTAATTTGTTGATATTCTAAAAATTTATTCTTATCAATCCCATATTGTGTAATTAATCTGTTAAATGGGATGTAGTCCACTTCTTCATATATATGTTCCAAATATTCAATTCCTTTACACCTCCAACCTGGGAAGTTTATCACATTATTCTGTTGTAGGATGTCAGGGTTGTTCCAGATGGGTGTACGTTTACATGGGATTAGTGAAGACTGTCATTTTAAGAAACTCCCACCAAGCTGTCAGAGAGGAGCTGATATTGATGCTTTTAAAGCATTCCTGTCGTTTTATGTTTGAGCTAATGAATGGAAGGTCCGAGATCATTATATTATTGCAAAGTGTCTGTTCTACGTCTAGCCAGGGTTCATCAAGGGGTGTGTGTTTTATCCATTTTGAGATGTATTCTAGCCTGTTGGCTAGAAAATAATAATAAAAGTTGGGTAATTCTAGTCCTCCTTTATCTTTGGATTTCTGTAGTGTTTTTAATCTAATACGAGGACATTTATCTTTCCACAGAAATTTAGAAATAGAGGAGTCCAGGGATCTAAACCAGTCAGATGATGGTTTATTTGGGATCATTGAGAATAAATAATTTATTCTAGGCAAAACCATCATTTTTATTGATGCGATCCTTCCCATGAGAGATATGGGTAAAGATTTCCATCTAGCCAGATCATCCTCAATTTTCTTTAAAAGTGGGGTGTGGTTTAGTTTTGTTAAATCTGCTAATTTAGGCGAAACTTTGATACCCAAATATGTAATATTCCCTGATTGCAGTTGTGTAGTAAGTGAATTGTTGAAAGAGCAATTAATTGGTAGAACTGTGGATTTTAGCCAGTTTATAGAGTAATCTGAAACTTTTGAGAAGGAGTTTATCAGTCCAATAACCTGAGAGATGGAGGTTTGTGAATGCCAGAGGAAGAGCAGCACATCATCAGCATATAGACTGATTTTGTGCTCTATGTTCTTGCATTTTATGCCTTTAATATCTGTAGTTTGCCTGATTGCTGCGGCTAGCGGTTCGATGAAAATAGCAAACAGTGAGGGGGAGAGTGGACATCCCTGCCTGGTTCCCCTTTGCAGAGCAAAACTAGCAGATATTTGATTATTTGTCCTAATGCATGCTGATGGAGAACTGTATAATATTTGTAACCAATTTATGAAATAATTTCCAAAACCAAATTTATGCAAGGCTGCAAATAAAAATTTCCAGTTAACTCTATCAAAAGCTTTTTCTGCATCTAGAGAGAATATTGCAGTTTCAATATTTTTACTGTAAGAATAATCTATTAAATTAAATAATCTGCATGAATTTGTGGATGAATGCCTCCCTTTTATAAAACCAGTTTGGTCTGGATGTATTATTAGAGGAGTTGCCTTTTCTAATCTTTTTGAGAGGGCTTTACAAATTATTTTAAGATCAACGTTGGTAAGAGATATTGGACGATAACTGGTAGGTAATACAGGATCTTTGCCTGGTTTTAACAGGAGACTAATGTTGGCAGAATTTATATTTTCTGGAAGTCTGTTATTTTTCTCAGTTTCTTGTAGCATTTTGTGAAATAGTGGAGCCAGGATATTCCAGAATTCTTTATAGAACTCTGCTGGGAATCCATCTGGACCTGGAGCCTTTTTATTGGACATGCTTTTGAGGGCTTCCTGGAGTTCCACTGGTGTCAGTGGTGAATCCAGCTCCATTGTTTGACTATCTGATAGTTTAGGAAGTGTTATTTTATCCAGGAATTCATTAATTTCATTATCTGATGGGTTTATCTGGGGCGAATACAAGTCTTTATAAAAATCTCTGAAAATGCTGTTAATTCTTTCAGGGTCGTAAACTGTATTCCCAGTCGAGTCTTTAACACCAACTATAGTTGTTTTTTCCTTATTTATTTTGAGCTGTTTAGCTAGAAAGCTACCTGACTTATTGCTCTGTTCAAAATTTTCGATTCTAAGTCGTTGTATTAAGAATTTAGTTTTTTTGTTAATACATTCTTTTAATTCCAATTTTGCTTTACGCATTTTATCCAGCATTTCTTCATCTTGAGAGGCTTCTAACGATTTAATGGTTTCTTCTAGTTCCTGAATATGTTTATTTTCTTTTTTCTTCTTTTGTGATGAGAATGAAATTATTTTACCTCTCATTACAGCTTTACCTGCCTCCCATAGAATAGATGCTGATGTTCCAGGCACGTCATTATACTCCAGATAAGAAGCCCACTCTTCTGTAAAATATTTGATAAAATCTACATCTTCAAGCAGTGATGTATTAAATCTCCAGTTTATACTTTTTGGGATTTCTTTTCTGTTTGCTAGATTTAAACAGACAGGAGCATGATCACTGACAGCTATAGGGTGTATCTCAGTGTCTGAGATGTCCGTCAACAACGAGCTGCTGACTAAAAAATAATCCAGACGAGAGTAAGAGTGATGGACAGAAGAGAAGAAAGTATACTCTCTACGATTCAGGTGAAGAGATCGCCATGCATCACAAAGTCCATAATCACTCATGTATTGTTTAACTATATTTATGGACTGCCAACTACGCTGAGTTCCTGCTCTACTACATCTGTCTAATTCTTCATTTAGACCAAAGTTGAGGTCACCTCCAAGTATAAGTGAGCAATCCAAGTGATCAGAAAGTGCTGAGAAAAAATCATGAAAAAAAGAGATGCAATTTATAACGGACCGGGTGGGGCCCACACAGCAGGTGGGCGTGGACTAGAAGTTTTCAGTGTTCGGCGCGCTGCGCGCAGGTAAACCCAATAGCAACAGCTTTTAAAAGGCTACGCTTTACACTCATAGAATCTGGGGTTTCAATACATAACCAACGTTTTGCAGGGTCTGGTCGCTCACCTTAAGCTGACAAGATATGTCCAAGGAATTTGTCTTGTGCCTGCTTAGCTTACACTTCTCTGTGCTTATTGTGACACTAACTTATTTGAGCTTGTGCAGCACTACTTGTACTTTGGCATTGTGATCTTCTTGGTCCTTAACCCCACACAAATATGTAATTCATGTGATAGAGAACTCCCTGCAGCCTGTTGAGAATCATGGACATCTTCACTGGGAATGTTCTGGAGCTGAAATAATGCCGAAGGGCAATCTGTTGAAACAGAAGTGGCCAAAAGGTGATATGAATGTTGTGTATCATACTGAGTCCAGTGACAGTGGTATTTACCAAAATCCTCTATTAATGTCAAATTTGTTGAAGACGTGAGCTCCTGCAAGAGATTCCAGTGTCTGCTCTACTGGAGGTAGAATGTATTTCCATCTGCAGACTGCTTCTGGAGTCAGCCTCCCCACCATCACAGACTTCTACACC